TCTCAAGAACTTTTGTTTAAGTTGCCATTGATCCGTGGGATCAGATGGCTGTGTCGTTTCCAGTTAGATTTGTTAAGATTTTGCTATGGTATCTTCATGTGATAGATATAAGTATGATGCATGATTTAACACTGGTGAACAGAGGGAGTGAGTTGGGTTTAACGTCGCTTTTAACAGTATTCCAGTCATATCACGGCGTGTCTGCTTAATGTGGGAGGAAAGCCCGAAGTGATGCAGGTCTCAGACGTTTACCACTTCGGTGAAACCCACGGGAATGGGTATGGTGCTGACAAACCTAGAAACCGGGGCGAGCCGAGATTCGAACCGACAATCATAGGTTGTTGACGTGCCAAAGGGACGCAACTCTGATCACTTAGACGACATGGCCCTCCCGTGCCCTCCAAGTGAACAGAAATAACGGATCGTTCTAGGATTGTACATGCAATTTTGAGGCCATTTGACCCAGAATTGTAGGATTTCGTTGAACTGAGTCACGAGTCCAGGGTGCCACCACACGTTTTGACACCTCTGTTTCGGGTGTATGGACAGATTCGTGATTCCACCAGCTGGTCATCTACCAACGGGTCAGTGGATTCTTTTGAGTGTACAGGGTGAATATACTGTACACTTGAGATAGTGACAACACCATACAGACACTGTTGACTGAATGAAATACCAGCAGTATACAATCTCAGTACCTGGCTATAGCAACAAAGCGTTCGTTGTGCTCCGACCTATCGTAACTATGTACTTTATCATAGGCTTACGAATAACGTAGTGCTACGAAAGCTTTGTGGAACCGAGCCCTGACCCTTCAGAACGCTCGCCCACTCCGATCACGATTGGTGAAAGGCTTGCCACATTTCCTCACAATGAGAGATACTTCAGATTGGCGAGTGTGGCTTTATTCACGATACGAATAGAAATATTTATGTCGAAACCAGCATTCGGTGCTGACAGTCTGCAAACTTTCATGCAAACGTTAAAACGTAAAGTTTTACAGTGAGCGAGTTGTGTTTAACGCTGCTTTTAACAGTATTCCAGTCATATCACGGCGTGTCAGCTTAATGTGGGAGGATGCAGGCCTTAGACGTTTACCACTTCGGTCAAACCCACGAGCACTGGTATGGTGCTGACAAACCTAGAAACATAATCGGGGCGAACCGGGATTCGAACCCACAATCATAGGCTTCTGGCGTGCCCAAGGGACGCAACTCTGCACATCGAGTTGCGGCACCTTGCACGACTTGGTCACCCGTGCCCCTGTAAAAGTTTACATTAACATTGACATTAAAGTATCTTGTAATGATTCTAATGGAATCAGTTTCAATCAACCATTTTCAGCGAACACCCGGTGTCATTTTGATTCGTGAATACTGGCGTTTCCGTTCTAGTTTCACGCGTTATATTTACGTGACAGAGCATTCCAGTACGAATACTACTTGGTTTTGCCCCAATTTACTCATTTAAATCACAAGCGAGTAAATAATTCTATCGTGACAGTGATGGGGAGGATATGTGCGTGATGAACGTCAAAGTCACACTGATGCATTGCACAGACAGATTCTAGCAAAAGTATTGATTATTTTATTCATTTTGTGACTACCTGTTTCGTTTGGACATATCTATCTGTTCTGAAATATTGTGAAAATAAGAGGCGACAAACGGGATCGGGTGGTGAGACTCGGTGACATGGTTGATGCATGTCATCGTATCCCAACTGCGGAGATCGATGCTCATGATGTCAATCTCTGGATTATCTGGTCCAGACTCAATTATTTCCAGACCGCCATTATATAGCTGGAATACTGCTGAGTGCGGCGTTAAACAACAAACAAACAAAAACCGAACAAACATGTTTTGAAACTCTAACTCATTGGGATGCGATAATGTACTTCGGATTATAGTGGAAACCGAAAATCGGAGCCCCTAAGTCCAAACAAACGTCAGAATGTATTTGGCGTTGAACGTTATTTCCACATTGTGTTATTTGTATGCAGTTCAGCAGCTACAGGACCAGTTTCTTACTCTTGTTGTTCAGACTCGAACGCTCGTTTCCTGATTACGAGTCTTGGTTTTTGCAAGTCCTGCTTGTGTTTCATCAAAGTGGTACGGCCAAGAAGACCTGGGTCACTTCGGATTTCCTCCAGCATTAACCTGACACGTCGGGATGGAACTGGAATGTTGTTCAAAGCGGCGTTAAACCCAACTATTTCATTTTCATTCCGTACCGCACCTAATGAAAGGTGAAGCCATACCCAACCCAGAGGTGGAATTCATAATGTTTGAGAACATATTCCCGCAGCATGGGCCCCGGATGAAGCAATTAAGCTTCCTAACATTCTGCTGTAACACACAAATACGTTACCATTCATAAGTCGTCTTCATGCCATGTTTAATTTTTAACTCTATGGGTTGTGAAATGAATTGAGTTCATCAATGTGAGTGTCACTGAGAACTACCCTCCTCTGTATAACACTTTAGCATTTCCCTGCGGACAGTGCTAGTAGACCAAAGCATCGCGGTTGAATGACCAGTTAGGCGCCTCAATTAGGAGTTCTCTGGGAGAACTCTCAGAGGTACTAGAGTTTTATATGACAGCTTTCCGTCGGCATTTGACCTCCCTGGAGTGTGGTTGAGATGATTGCTACTGCCTGCTTCATTGGAAGGGTTAAACCTGTTATTTCCCTCCTCCATAAACATGAATGAGGCCTTCGTGGGGTTTGTTCAAATATTTAGACGTCAATCATGAATCAACATAAATTGCTGTTCAACTTCTGGACCTATGAAACCAATAGTAACTCTTTAAGCTTTGGGACCACTCAGTATCTTTTTGACAGTCTTGATATATATATATATATACTGATGGAAACGAATCGGGAACAATGCAAAATATAAGGAAAAAAGCTTTACTGTCAGTACATTTGAAATAGGGCGTATACAAATTCAACACGTCAGAGTCAAATGTTGAGATGTGTTTGTGCGCATTGTTTTCAACGCTGGCTAGCTTGTTTGTTTGTTGTTTTACGCCGTACTCAGCAATATTCCAGCTATATGATGGCGGTCTGTAAATAATCGAGTCTGGCTAGACAATCCAGTAATTGACATCATAAGCATCGATCTACGCAATTGGGAATACGATGACATGCATCAAGCAAGTCAGCGAGCCTGACCACCCGATCCCGTTAGTCGCCTCTTACGACAAGCATAGTCGCCTTGTTTCAAACGCTTATGCGGTAGACAAGACTGGGAACCCACGATAGCATATCATTTTACTGTGTCTAAAACTAAGTGTTCCCTTTTCGTCTCCATCAGTATATGTTACTGGTTTTTACGGTTACGGTGTGGGAATATATTCTGTGATCATGCATATTTTCAAGATGTCCACATGGCCTTTGTTGCCTTTAATGATATTTATTGACTAAGTTATGGTCATAAATCATATTTTAGCTGTGCACGTGAAGGTAATTCGGTTCGCTATTCCTGACCTCTGTCCTTTAGTGTCAAGGATTTGTGAAAATCAATGCCGTGGTTAGCGGATGTGTGACTTCAAACGTTTATCCATAAACGCATAACACTAAATGACCTGGTCTCGACGAGCCTTATCGGGGCCGAGACGAGCAAAGCCATACAGTTCACCGATGAGTGTCACGTTCGCTTAATCAAAAAGAAATAATTATGTTTCTATAGATTTGCTACTTTTAGCGGTGTTGATTACAGCGACCTGATTGGACGTCTCGACAGATATATAGTTAAAACATCATGCTCATTCTCGTGTTTGGAGACTGTTTAAAGCATTGGCTGTTCAAGGAAAACAAGAATTATTTACTCTCTGTGGCTGTTTGTATCTGTGACGAAGTACAGCTTTGTACACCCATGGACAAACATATAATTCACGCTGCACATTTCGCTGTAATGCTGTCCAAGTAAGGTGATGTGAAATAGGAGCACGGGGCTCAATAGCGTCCGGAAATTACCATGAATATTAAATGTAACGTTTATTGCATGGCTGGGGCATATGTTGACGCAAGTATATATCGATAATTTTCAGATGGGTCGTGGCAGCATTGTTGTTCTGTGTTAGGGTTATATGCCCGCAAGACCCATTGCTCTTACTTTCATCAGTACACGTCTTTCGGACAACCGCGGACACAGAGCTGTGCCACGTCATTTTCTCGTCAAGAACATTGCCAATTCCCACTGTCTTCACCAACGGTTGCGTAATAAAATATTAAACATTTTAGCTATAATGGCTGGCTGTATAAATTCTACACGCAAGCTTTCTGAATGACTACAAACCTTACAAGAACTTCTTCCTCCTCAGTCCCCACATCCCACCCTAAGTATAATGATAAATGACAAGGTTTGAGAGAAGAAACCCCGATAGGATACAATATGTCGGTTTATTCAACGAATTCGTTTTAAAGCCAGGCAGAACAAAATGTAGACAAAAACCAAATCAAGTCACAATGTGTCTTCAAATTCTGAACAAGATTAAGGGGACTCAGTCATCAGAGCTGTGTATAGACAATGCTGTAATGTTGCTGATCCTGTGTGTTAGGTCATATCAGAGCTGTGTATATACAATGCTGTAATGTTGCTGATCCTGTGTGTCATGTCATATCAGAGCTATGTATATACAATGCTGTAATGTTGCTGATCCTGTGTGTCAGGTCATATCAGGGCTATGTATTTACGACGTTGTAATGTTGCTGACATCGAGTGTCAGGTCAGGTCATATTAGTAATAGGTGTAAATGCTTCTTTCATGTTGCTGACATCGAGTGTCAGGTCATAGTGTTGCTGTTACCGATTGTCAGGTAATAAATGTTCTAGGTGTACATGCCACTGTCATGTTGCTGACATCGAGTGTCAGGTCAGGTCATATTAGTAATAGGTGTAAATGCTTCTTTCATGTTGCTGACATCGAGTGTCAGGTCATGTTCGTGTGGTGTGGAAGTGATGCTGCAATGTTGCTGACATCGACTTGTTGTGTTTCAGGTCATATCAGTCCTATGTGGATGTGTTGCTGTGATGTTGCTGATGCTGTCGATAGCAGCAACGACATGGCTGGAGGCCGACGGTTTTCGCGAGGGATTGTGGGAAAAATGCAAATGGCGCGATAGGATAAACCAACAAGTCGACTGCGAAAAGAATTATCCAAGAGGTGAGTGACGGTTGTGAGATGATAACATATATCAGTTATAATTGCTGTTGTAATAATTGCAGATAATTGTTCTTATGTCACTATTACCTGGATACAGTTAGGGTTATAAGGTAGCTTTTTGGGTTAACCACTCGCTCGTCACGCTCAACGAGCGCTCGACCTGGGTCAGATTCCTTACGTGGGTACAATGTGTGGAGCCCATTTTTGGTGTCCCCGACCATGATATTGCTGGAATATTACTAAACTCGGCGTGAAACCTGACTCGCTCACTTACTCACGCTACAGTTATTAATACCATCATCGCTGAATTACTTGTCCTTCGACATCATTTGTCATTGTTAACATCAGTGTGACAAATTAACAAGATTTGCGTTCCGTGAGGCATTGATGCTCAAAACTTGAAACATGGTTTGAATTTCAAAGGTTGGCAACTCTCATATAGTGTGGTATATTCTCGTTAACACAAGGCGATAAACACACATCTGGACACACCATGACTGATTTGCTTCATAATGACGTATTCACGTTTTCATGGATTTCAATTGCTTCTCCGCGTCAAACGAGGCACACGGCTGTCCGACAATGTTGTGACGAATGCGCCTACGGGTTCCTACATTGACGTCATGCTGTATTTGTGAGATCTGCCCAAAGCATTTGGGAGTGATGTGGGTTTGTCAATGACCCTTCAAAATCAATATTTCTCATGAGGCAACTTTCCACACGTCTTGCAATAAAAATAGGGATTTGTGACGGGTTGACTGTGCATGTGATCTTATTGCATCAAACCTGAGACAATAACAAGCATGATGTGAATGACGGAATATCCCTTATCCCAGACGTGCCACCCCGACCTGGAAATAGTAAGTGAGTTGGGTTTAACGGCGCTTTTAACAGTATTCCAGTATCGCGGCGTCAGCTTAATGTGGGAGGAAAGCCCGAAGTGATGCAGGTCTCAGCCGTTTACCACTTCGGTGAAACCCACGAGCACGTGTATGGTGCTGACAAACCTAGAAACATAATCGGGGCGAACCGGGATTCGAACCCACAATCATAGATTTCTGGCGTGTCCATTGACGCAAATCTGCACAGCGAATCGCGGCGCCTTAGACGACATGGCCACCCGTGCTACCCCGACCTGGAAAGACGGTCAACCTCAGGTCTATTCGATCCGACCTGGTATGTCTCAGAAACCTCGAAAATATAACCTCAGAACAAAGAAGTCTGACAGAACTGTTAGATATCACAGTTAATTTCATTTGTATTCAACCAATGTTGACGTTGTCTCAAACCAAATTGACTTGAACAATAATCTGTCTACCAGATAAGCAAATAACTTCTGGGAGCTGCTGGTTTTGACATCCGTATATAAACTGCCGGGCAATCTATGCACCCATGTTTGATGGTGGCTTAAGAGGAAACACACAAGAAATGGTGAAGCGACGGTAGTGTATTGGAGACGGTATCATAGACAATATTACATGCATTATATCAACGTGTACCTCACATTAATGAGTTAGCCGAGTAAAGTTTTGATGACGTTTGTAAAATTTACGAAGTGTTTACTTTCTTTTGCCCGACAGTTTAAATTCTACGTTTCAAATGCATGTAATGATGTTTGATCATTAAAGGAGAGAAATGGGTGTCTCATAGGCATTTGGTTTAGCGTCGGGGCGGACTGAGTGTTTAAGCGAGTGTGGTAACGCCACTGTGAACAGTATTCCACTTATATCACAGCTTGTCAGGAAAGCCCGATCTGATGCAGGTCTTTGACGTTTACCACTTTGGCAAGACCCCCGAGCACGTGACAAAACTCGAAAAATAATCGGGGCCAATCGGGATTTGAACCCACTAACGTAGGCTACTGGCGTGCAAAAGGGACGGTTTATCGTTAGTGTCTACCCAAAGAGCATTGAGTAGTCAGGCTATGCGACTTTATCGATTGCGTGTTCTCATACCCCGACGTCGTACGACGTTGCTCATGCTATAAACCATCAGATTGCCTGAACATACATTATGTTGCTGACTGTCCTTATGCTACTAACAAAAAATGGAGAAAAAAACATTTCACTATTGTTCATCCTTGAGGACAGTTCATGTTACTTTATAATACGATTTCATATCAGCAATAATATTTATCGTAATTCATGCCTTCCTTATGATGATAAGATGTTACGTTATTAGACATAGACAAATCAACTACTTAAACAAGTTTAAGGAGGTCATTACTGGGCCTCTTGCACAAAAAGATCTTAGTCTTAAGATTATTTTAACGCCTGTATTTTAACAAAGACTTACAACAGCTGTAGCTCTAAGATCGCTTTGTGAAAGCAAGTCCAGACGTGTCGTCTTCATATTCGGACAATCTGCCATTCACGTGTCTACTTTCTATGAGAACCTATCAATTTGTTTGTTCGCCTTGCGTAAACACTGATTTTATGAATGACATTTCAGTCACAAAGTCGATTCATCCTTTGAAGTCTAAATCGATTAGGTGAAGGTTTGATATAAGTGAACTTAGATTGTTAATAGTTTCTTTTAAGTCTTTGCAAACGTGGGTGGAACCTTTGACTGCGACGCCACTCACAACAATTTCCATGATTTAATTATTTTATATAGACATGACTAAATCTTGAAGTAGTGTGTTATTCATATAATAGGATTTCTTTGGCAGTTCTTGTTTCAATTCTACCGTGGCATTACTTGGGAAGGCCGCGTGTATCCCACTGATGACACTCCATGACTTCAGTACTTATTTATTGTCTCACGATGACGACATCATTATATAAAATATATATAAATTGCAATTGGAGTGTACAATCCAGTATTTAAAGTTTAAGACAAAACACAACGCCGAATACTTTCTCCGGCATGTTATATGTATATAACTTTACCACTTCGGTGAATCCCACGAGCATGGGTATGGTGCTGACAAACCTTGAAACTAGATCGGGGCGAACCGGGATTCGAACCCACAATAATAGGTTTCTGGCGTGCCCAAGGGACGCAACTCTGCACAGCGAATCGCGGCGCCTGGGACGTCTGGGCCACCCGTGCCCCCTACTACGGTGAAGTAGAGTCAGGCCAGATATACCAGTGATTGCCATTTTGAGCAACGATCCAACCAGAAAGGGAACGTTGACACACTAACAATCACGAGCCCGAGTCTGACCAGCCGAATCGTCGCCTCGTACGACAAGCATAGGTTGCTGGTGACCAATTCTATCCCGGAATCCCCATTCTATCTGATGCTAACACCAATTCATATTTTTCTTAAAGTGAGTGATTGTGTTTAGCAATGTTCAGCAATATGACGGCGCGGGACACTACCAAGGCTTCATACACTGTACCTTGAGCAGAATCGAAGCTGGCCCTTCTGAGTGACGAGCGAAAGCTTTAACCACTAGTCTAGTCCCAACCTTCCAAGTCCTTTATGAGGATGGTTCTACCTGCATTTATCTTATATAGGTTTACTAATATTAACTAAATAATATATTCTTCTTCTCTTTTTAACTCACTCCCATTCTGGATTTAGATAAATGTATATGACAGACATAAAATGTGTATACTTAATTTTCAAGACGCATTTACTCCGTAAGCAAAACATACGAAATCGTGAATTGGCAAATTAATTATTATGTTATTACATGTATATTCTCTTGCAGGATATTATTTTTGTGTTAGCAATACCGTAAGGCACCTTTCTAAAGCAATATCTTTCTTATGTATTAGATACAATAATGTAGGAAAACCTATATAATATGCATCCATTCCTTGTCTCTACTAACTTCTGTTTTCTTCCTTCCTCTCCTTTCAATGGCTACAGATAAAGGTAAGTTATGTCTTCAATTCACGACAAAATGATGAAGTGCATGCATATATATGTCCTTAACATTGCATTCTCCTTGAAGGATGTGTGCTGGTGCAAACTGCATCGTTACCTAACTGTCGGGCAAAAGAAAGTATGCACTTGAAAATTGGATTTGACTCTAACCCTAACTTAACAATCAAAACGGTTATAGTCTGAAAACAGCCGCCGAAATACTGCCAGCTTACGTCCCAAAAGACAACTATGATACCCGTATCAAATACATCACCATCGAATAAACATTTCTCGTTTGTTTCATTTTTAGCCACCAACAGACATGTGTGTGCTTTCTTTTGCCTGGTAGTGTATGACCTCTTCACAGAAGGGTGCTCTGAGCTGTGGGCATCACTATACTTTTACTTTTCGAAGGTTAATGCTCCTAAACTTTTGGCTTCCATTTTGGTTTTTATGTCCGTTCTTCTTGTGGCGAAGATAAATATATGAAAACCGTTTTGCATATTTTGTGTATTTTACAGTATATCTATAGTAATTCATTGGCATGTACAAATGTTGGTCACCATTGTCTCAATCTTCTCAGAACCATAATTATAAGAATCAAATGATACGTGCAGTGTGCAGGACCGAGTGTCGTCCATTGAGAAAGGCAGCTCCAATTTGTTGGTATGAACAGAAGAAGGCCGCATGCTGGCATCCGTTTTTTAAAACTTAATTAGTTTATGGAATGAAATGATAAACTTCTCCATGTCACTGAAGGTGAGATGATCAGCGAATAAAACTGAAAAGAAATTTATGACAGAATATGATATCTTTCTCTTAAAACTTGTTTTCAAAATCATCATTTTGCTTCCCTTCCGAATCTTATCCTCGTCTCATCTCATATTTCCCGCACACAGGCATACGCACATGTACACGCATACGCCCATGTACACGAACATGCATATATACACGCACACGCATATGTACACGCACACGCATATATACACGCACACGCATATGTACACGCACACGCATATGTACACGCACACGCATATATACACGCACACGTATATGTACACACACACGTATATATACACACACGTATATGTACACACACGTATATGTACACGCACACGCATATATACACGCACACGTATATGTACACGCACACGTTTATGTACACGCACACGTTTATGTA